CAGGAGAATTGATTGAACCCCGGAGGCGGAGGTTACAGTGAGCCAGGATTGCACCACTGTACTCCAACCTGGGCCACAGAGCGAGACCCTGTCTTAAAAAAGAAAAAGAAAAGACACATAGAGTGAAACATTACTGGGGAAAAAAAATGAACAGACCACTGGTGAGCTATGGGACTTCAAGCAGCCCTAACACACGTGTTATTGGAGCCCCTAAAAGAAAGAGGAGGGCAGAAAAATATTTGAAGAAATAAGAACCAAATTTTTTTCAAATGTGATTAAAACCCACAGATCCAAGAGCCCCAAGGATGCCAAACACAGGAAAGATGATGAAAATCGCTACAAAGTATGTCATAAGCACTCCCCTCTCATTCCCACAGGTGCTTGGCAGAGGAGAGGAAAAGCAGCGTCCCCTGGAGAGCCTCAAGAAAAGCTTTGTAGGGTCTGCCAGGCTTCAGTTGTGGCAGGAGGTAGAGAGGGGTGAGCCAGGTGGTTGGAATCGTGAGTCAGAGGGCATTATGAGAAGGGTTGTCAGAGGACCGAGGATGAGAGAAATGGGGTCCATGGCTCATTGTAACTGGCTCTGAGATTTACAGCTAAATCTAAACTCCGAGATTTAGCTAGCTCTTTAGTTTTTCAAAGATTATTCCTATTGTTTGCAAGGGGACTTTATTTGTTCAGTACAACACATTTCTTCTGGTAATGCTCCTTGTAACCATGTGTATCACATGGGAGTCATCATTTTCCACAAACCCCGTCTCCTCAGTCTCTGTGACTAGAACAGAACGAAGTGCTGGTGCACGCTCCACCAGTCCTAGCCTTTCCCCAGGAGTTTTGCCCTTGGGAGCAGAGGGCCTAATGCAATCCCTTGCCAGTGGCAAAGCGGAAGATGTTTGCCTACAGGTTGCTGGTGGCCACGTTGCCTCACTCACGAAGAAAGCTCACCAGGGGAGAGTACAGACAATAGAAGGAGGCCCCATGGCCTCCCCGATGGCCTCCCTCTATTCCAGTCACTTTTGGTCACCCCTGAGACCCTCCGCACTCTGGCCCTTCCTACGTTTTGGTTATGTGAACCACTAAATCACCCTGTTCACCTGAGTTAGTGCAACCAGTATGTTGAGCATGCAAGAAATGTCGAGGGATCATCACAGACACCTTCATTTTGTCTCCCACTGTTCCCTTAAAATGTTTTCATGTCTTTAATACATCTGAAGTAATAAGAATTCCATAGTCGCAGTGAGTTGCCATTTCCAAACTTAGAGGGTCCCATCTTGTGTAACAGTCACAGCTTTCAATTCATAAAAGCTGCAGTTGCTCCCTTCCCCGCAATAGGGCTTAGTGCTGGCAGGTGCCTGGTGGGGAAAGGGCATGCCCTACTTGTCTTTCCTCTTCCCTCCTCTCCCATATGCCTCTGACATATCCAGGATTGCTGTGGGAGTGAGAGAGAATGAGCAGTAAAGACCTAGAGTGTTTGCACTCTCTGGACCTGACAAGTAGTTAAAGCTGACTCTGATGGGGTGCTTTTGTGAGTATTCTGATGACCCCTTTCCGTCTTAGGGGCCTCTTCCCGTGGTTACCCCGGTGTGGGTAATGCCCATGTCTCCGCCTTGCTCCTCACTTCTGTAGCTCCTGGGAATCCCAGCATCTACCGGCTGCTTCTGTTGGCCGAGGGCCGGTCAACCCTCCAGGCAGATCTTCTGGAAAGGACCTGAAATGAGCCCACACCAACTCCTTCATGCATTAGTTTTTGCCACAGATTCTGGGAATGCAGGCCAATCCCCATGCAGTGCTCTCCTGCAGCAGCCCACCCATTGCCCTTTGTGTCCTCTAGACTTGTTGGGTAGGAGGTGGGCCCCAGGCTACCCACTGTGTTCTCTAAACCTTAAGGCCATGTTAGGCGTCCTTCAGAGGCTGGAGTGAGAGACAAGTACCCTGCCTGCCCTGTTCATAACACCGCTCCCCACAAAGACATTTTTCAAATCCTCTCTCCCTTCATCTCTAGCAACTGATTGCTATTTATATTTGATGTAGGGAAGGCCTTTAGAATTACGTGGTATGTATTAAGAGATTTCCTTTGAAAATCTGCATCTTAGTCTAGCACTTCACTGTGGTGTCTGAAATGTATCACCTTATAGGCCTGGCTAAAATTTTATTTCGAGCATCCTGTTACCCTAATTTGATTTGGACTTGTGACTGTTGTGACCAAATAATCCTGATAATAGTCAACAGATATTTATTGAGCATCTACTGTGGACAGCCACAGCCCTCATGAGTTGTCAGTCCACATAATCTTTACATTTTTCTTGAATCCATTTGCCAATGTTTATAAACTTAGAAATTTTACCTTAAAAATCCAGATTCCTGCCTTGAAAAAAATCAAAAGATGTGGTAATGCGGGGCCTGAGTTGCTGCCTGGCATAGTTAGCAGGAACTAGTGGGAGCCACCCTTCAGCAGGACACACACTCTCCAGATGGACTCAGTTCCCTCTGGGCTTTGACGCTAGAGCCACGGGTGAGCTGCCATTTATCATCAGTGGGCTCACAATTACCTTTCCTTAAATTATTCTGGTACTCCTGTCTCTTTTCTGAGGGCTGTGGGGGGTACAGTGATCCTTCACCGTGTTGCCCAGGCTAGGGTGCAGTGGCGTGATCACAGTTCACTGCAGCCTCGATCTCCCAGGCTCACGCCATCCTCCTACCTCAGCCTCTGGAGTTGCTGGTACTACAGGTGTGCACCAGCATGCTCAGCTAATTTTAAAAAATTTGTTTGAATAGATGAGGGCTCACTATGCTACCCAGGCTTATCTCAAACTCCTGAACTCAAAACAACCCTCCCAGCTTGGTCTCCCAAAGTGCTGGGATTACAGGTGTGAGCCACTGTGTCCTGCCCTCATATCTCTTAATGAAAGAGAGAAAACAATAGATAGACCAGGAGAGACATGAAGGGACAAACTTGCTTTAGAAATGTAGAGTTCTTAGAATTGTAATATGCAGTGTGTGTGTGCGTGTGTGTGTAAAACGAAACAAAACTAAGATGCCATTGGCAAATAATAAACCACAAATATAATTATTTTTACTATACAGAAAATATATAGGAGGAAAAACAGTGAATTGAAAAAAAAAAAGACATTCCAACAGGATTTGTTTTTTAATGCAACTAAAATAAGTAGTGTGAGCTGCTGTATAAGAGTATTACATTCTCCCACTTCCCTCATTTGTGTTATGCTCTTGCTTGGCCCCTGACATTTGAATTTGCAACAATGAGGGAAACATTCTCTGGCCTCTCTTGAAGGAATCCGCCTAAGTATGGATTCATTGTCTAAGGGAGTCTTAGCTCAGGTCTGGGGAGCAACAGCACGAGACTTCCCCCAGGGTTGTCACCACACAGGGAAAAAGTAACGGGTATTTGGCAAGTTGATAAGCCTTCCTTTTTATGGAATGGTAAGATAGGATTATTGAAAGAGCACTTAACTTTGACACTAACTCTCTGCAAATTGTATTTTTAGTTTTATTTTATATTTAAGTCTTTTTTTGTTTTTCTTACCAATGTTTGTAAGTTCTTGATATGTTAAGGCAAGTCTTTCATCCATTTGCCTGCGTTAGAGCAAAACCAGAATTATTTTGAGGAAAGGCTTTCACTTGCTCAAGGTCATTCTCTTGGGAGGTAAGCCTTGTGTTGAGTTGTGTGTCCTAGTTGGTAGCTTCAATTTTAAGAAGAGGATTTATTCTCTCTCCACAGCTCAGATGATTTTGAAAGCAATGAGTCTGGCCTTAATTGGCCTTGCAGAACGACTCCTGGGAGGTACTTGTCAGCGTGTGTGACTTCCCTCTTTTTGCTGTTCACTGCTTATTAAAGCCTGAGTTCCTCGAAAGCTTTGCTGCCTGGCCTTTTCCATCCAGTATTTTGGTATTCTGTTTTACCCTCAGACTGAGCCAGGCCAGCTAAGAACTGCATTCATAGGCCACCTTATTTTGGCTAGACACACACACACACACACACACACAAACACGCACACACACACATACACACATACTGCAACTATGGAGCAGAGCCATAAGATATAATCCCATGACACTTCCTATCATTTTCCTTATACAAATGTTTTTGAGGACACAGGAAATTTTCCTCAAGTCTTAGTATCAAGAATAGCTGTGATTCTCCTGGTTTATTTTGTAGATACTGCTGAACCATGAAATCAGTGCTTTGCACTTAGTTTTAGCTATGGAAAATCTTGAGGACAGATCTGTAATCTTCCTCCAGCAAGCACACACGGCCCTAGGATATTCACTTTTACTATTTTCCTTACCCCACCTGCATTTTCCTAAGTTTATGTCCACTTTGGCCCCCAGGTTTATCCTTTTTAAAATCTTGTACTCCATACAATTTTATAGAACTGCTTCAACCTCGTTTTAGAATGAGGCAAGATGTAAAGAACTTAAATAAATTAAAATACTGATTAATCACTTGTTAGAAACATCAATTTGTCTTTAAATTTTATTGTAAACTTGCTATTCTTTATGTAATCTGATGTATTGGTTCTTTATGATGACCATGAAGAGAATTGGCTTGGATTTGGGGACCTGTTGACTGCCACATCCTCACCCCATGGCTAAGGTGACTGATTCAGCAAATGCTGTGTTTAGAGCTCAGAGGAAGCAGATATTGCATCTGAGCCTTTTAATTTTCCAGGTTCCAGTTTCATGGTTTACTAAATTTCAGTTCCAGTTACCACATTTATACAGGAAGGAAGGCAGTTGTATACCAACATAGGACTGGCTGCCCTAGAATGCATAGGAAATACCTGGCATTGAACTTGGTCCTTCACAAAACAGGTGTTCAGCTGGTGTTTTGTGGTTTATGTATTTAGTTGTATTCTTTGAAGCAGTTGAATTGTGTTCTTTTCCAGGGGTTGTCTGTCCCCATGGTCTAGGTCTGGGGGATGCAATATGCTAGTATCATCAGTGACTTGACTTAAATGACATTTTCTGCTTTTCTTTTTCAGAGTATGATCGGTTGGGCTTCCTCCTGAATCTGGACTCTAAACTGTGAGTAGAATGAGAAGATACATTGGCTCTGTGGTAGAGAGGTCTGTGAGAGCTGGGTCTCACTTTGAAGAGTCAGCTCTCATCACTCTTCTGGTGACTAGGGGACTCCCTGGGGCCTCTGTCCTCAGGCTGTCAGCAGAATCTTGGGGCATGTTATGGTCTGCAGTGGCCACAGAGGGTGGGATGATGGGTGCAAACATAAGGCCTTTGATTTGGCTGGCACAGGCAACTTATTATAGGAGGAGGCCACTGCCAGGAGTTGGAAGGACTAGGAGGCTCCTGGAAAGGCTTCTCCTACAGGGTAGAGGACAGTTGAGTCACAGCAGGAGGTAGGGACCTCTCAGAGATGCTCTGGCACCTGACATGCACAGCTTTCTGTGATCACTCCCTATCTTACTCTCCAGCTTCAACTCCTGCCACTCTTGCCACAGGTGAACCCTCCTTTTCCCTCTACCTTTGTGTATGCTTGTTACCTGTGCCTGAAATTCTCTTTCCTTGCTAGCTTACTTGGAAAACTAAAAAAAACTACTTCCTCCCCACACAAAATTGTCTCTTCCTCTGTGCTTCCTTTGAATTTTCTACCTCTGTTACAATTATCACACTATACTGTAATTGCATAATAATTACTAATTTTTTAAGGGCACAGGCTCAGAGCTAGGCCTAGTAGATAACTTGGTTCAAATCCCAGATTGACGTTTATTCTCTTTGTGATTTGGGGCAAGCTACTTAACCACTCTGAGCCTCAGTTTCGTCTATAAGATGATGACAATAAACTTATTCCACAGGGTTTTTGTAAGAATTTAATTGAAATGATTAATTCATAGAGGACTGTCAAATACTGAGTATCTAATCCTTCCAGGATCCTTCCCTACTGGTCTTCTTGGTCTCTCTAGCACCTAGACAGTATTGGCGTATGTTTGTCAGGTACCCGTTAAACACTGAACACTTGGATGGATGGATGGATGGATGGATGGATGGATGGATGGATGGATGATGGTAGGATGACTGTGTACTTTCCTATTTGACAAGCATGCCTTGAGTTACAGCTCTCTCCACTCCGTGTGTTCATGCCCCTGCAAGCCTGCTCACATAGCTGATGCTCAATAAATCCTTGCAGAACCACCTTACTACCTACTGTGATTCCTTTCTATTGTTAGTCATCTTTGTGCACCTCTGTCCCCTGCCCTTTACCAGGCAGACATCATGAAGGATCAGAATTGTTTCTCTTTCCTTTTCCGTGTTGCATAAGGGCCTTTTCCGCAGTTGTGTCTGATGATGATGGCCACACCTGCATACAAGACATCAAAGCAGGGGCTGGTTGGTTTTCCTACTGAATAGTCTGGCATTTGGCTTCTTGGCTCTGATGCCTCATACTGTGAGTTCAGGCATTGTAAATCTCCCAACTTTTACACATTATGGAGGCAACTATGAAGGAAAATGTGTGTGTTCTGTATACCAGGCTAGTAGAGAGATGTCAGCCGCATGTTAACATCTAGGGAATGGGGTATTTGATTGTGGTAGAAAGCCATAGGCTTCACTCTTAGAAAATTATTAATTTAGTACTCTGGAAAAAAACAAATCAAGTATAAGCCATAAGCAAGTGAAATGCCACCAGAACGGAAGAGATAAGAGTAATTCCCAAGTTGAATCACACTGATGAACAAAAGGCATATTCTCTAGGACATACTACAATATTTAAACTGTCTTCAGCAGTGAAAGGAGGAGGATGAGGAGGACATTCCTACCCTGCTCTCCTGACAGTTGGGTCCTGCAGAGTAGGCTGTTGTGTAGCTTTCTGTTGCGTATCAGGCCAGTTCTTTGAACTATGTGAGTTAACTTGGTCGTTAGCACAGTAAATTGGCTTGGCCTCATTTGATTTAACTCACAATCTAAGGTACAAGCTACTTTCCTGCCTCTAGCTGCAAAGCTTTTTCTAGTCCAGTGCTGTCTTCAGAAGTCCAGTGCTGTCTCTCCTGTCTCCCAGATACCTGAGAAAGGTTTCCACCTACTTCCAGAGAGAAGTTTCCAAGTTAAGGATTCTGTTTTTGGTGGGGGCAGTTACTCAGCAAAGTTGAGATCACCCCTTACCAAGTCCCTCTCTAGTTGTGTTATATTCTATTTCTGAAGTATAGGAAAGGATCTGAACTTTAGTAGGAACTGGATTTGAATTCTGTCTCTGCTGCATAGTATTACATGACCTTAGATAATTATTATATTTTAGCTTTCTGAACCCCAGTTTTCCTTTATGAAAAATGTAGATAATAGCACTCACTTCCTATGGCTTTATGAAGAATAAAAGAAAGTGTTCTATAAAGTATGAATAAGTATGCCAATGTAAGGCTTTCTTTTTATTTATCTTGATTGGGATTCTTTTAGCTGCTGTTGCTTCTTCCTCTTCTTCCTCCTCCTCTTCTTCTTCTTCCTCTTCTTCCTCCTCTTCTCCTTCCCCCTTTTCTGCTTCCCCCTCTTCTCCTCCCCCCTTCTCCTCCCCCCTCTTCTCCTCCCTTCTCTTCTCCCCACTCTTCTTCTCCCCCTCTTCTCCTCCCCCCCTTCTCCTCCTCCTCCTCCTCTTCCTCCTTCTCCTTCTTCTCCTTCTCCTTCTTCTCATTCTCTTTCTTCTCCTTCTTCTTCTTCATCTTCGTCGTCGTCTTCTTCCCTTTTTTGGTACAGACAGGCTCTTGCTATGTTGCCCAGGCTGGTCTTGTACTCCTGGGCTCAAGTGATCCTCCTGCCTTAACTTCCTGAAGTGTTAGGATTACAGGTGTAAGCCACAGTATCTGGCCTCATTTAGATACTTGGGTATAAGAATTTCATATATTTTGGGAAAATTTCAGCCATTATCTCTTTAAATATTCCCTCTGCCCCACTCTCTCTCTACTCCTCTTCTGAAATTCTGGTTAAATTTTAGATCTTCTCATTATATTAACTTATCTTCCATATTTTTCATCTTTTAATTACTTTTATATTAACTAGAACCCCAAAGGACCCAGCATAAGGATAAACTAGAACTATTAATAAACCTGCACCCCCAAAGCAGGCTGCAAGAACAATTACCAAAGCACTGAGTAGGTCATGGCACTGGAACAAAAATACTTGGTATTTGTTGCCAGAGTTCTCATCACTCAGGTGATCTAGGGAACCTCAAGCCATGAATTCAGTTTAAGGTATTCCAGACTGGCAGTGCCTCCAAGCACCTGGCAGAAATAAATGCAGACTTTCCATAGAGGAAGACATATGCATTCCTCATAAATAACTTTTCAAGGAAATGAACAGCTTACGGTAAAAAATAACTAAACACACAAGGAAACAAGCTTCTATTGAAGCTTGTTCTCATGGTTTTATGAGAAACATGTAAAACAACTGGCAACAGAGGAGTATCCACAAAGATTTCTGAAATTGGAATTACCACACATTATTTATAAAGCAATTAAATATACTATATTTAAAGAAATAAGAGACAGTACTGAACTATATGCATAGAATAGGGAACTATGAAAAGCAAAATACCAGATTTGAAAAAACAATGAACTTCTAGAGTTAAAAAATACAATGACCAAAATTAAAAACTCAGTAAAAGGGGTTAGCAGCTGATTAGATACAACTGAAGACAGAGTTAGTGAACTGGAAGGTAAGACAGAAGAAATTATTTATAAAAGGGATTGGCAAACTCTTTTGGCAAAGGGCCAAATGGGAAATATTTTAAAATTTGGGGCCTTATTTTTTCTGTCACAATTACTCAGCTTTGCTGTTTTAACTTGAAAGCATCCATAGATAGTACATAGATTAATGAGTATGGCTGTATTTCAATAAAACTTTATTTATGGACCCTGAAGTTTTCATTATATATGTATATTTTTGAGATAGAGTTTCATTCTTGTTGCCCAGGCTGGAGTGCGGTGGCGCAATCTCGGCTCACTGCAACCTCCACCTCCCCGGTTCAAGTGATTCTCCTGCCTCAGCCTCTGGAGTAGCTGGGATTACAGGCATGCGCCATCACGCCTGGCTAATTTTGTATATTTAGTAGAGATGGGGTTTTTCCATGTTGGTCAGGCTTGTCTTGAGCTCCTGGCCTCAGGTGATCCGCCCGCCTTGGCCTCCCAAAGTGTTGGGATTATAGGCGTGAGCCACCATGCCTGGCAATTTTATATAACTTTTATGTGTCAAAAATATGCTTTTTGATTTTTTCCCCATCTATTAAAAATGTAAAAGACATTCTTAACTTACAGGCCATATAAAAAACAGGTGAAAGGTTGGCTTTGGCCCACAAGTGTGGTTGGCTCACCCTTAATTGAGAATGCAGCACATCTCTATCTTGAGAATTGTCTCCTCACTCCAGATGTTTTCTATTCTTGGAACCCTATTGCATAGAAAAACTCCTTTTAAAAAAATGGATTCGGGAGTAAATGTGCAGGCTTGGTTACATGGGTTTATTGTGTGATGCTGAGGTTTGGAGTATGGATGGTCCCATTACTCAGGTAGTGAGCATGGTATTCAACAGGTAGTTTTTCAGCCCACTCCCCCCTCTAGTAGTCCCCAGTGTCTGTTCTTATTTTTATGTCCGTGTGTATTCAGTATTTAGCTCCCATTTGTAAGTGAGAACATGTGATATTTCATTTTCTTTTCTGTGTTAATTTGTTTAGGATAATGACTTACAGCTGCATCTATCAACATCATTTTTCATAGAAGTAGAGAAAACCATTCTAAAATGTATATGTAACCAAAAAGCCAGAATAGCCAAAGCAATCCTAAGCAAAAAGAACAGAGCTGGAGGTATCACATTGCTAGACTTCAAACTCTACTATAAGGATATAGGAACTAAACTTGATATTGCTGCAGAAACAGACACATAGACCAATGGAACAGAATAGAGAACCCAGAAATAAAGCCACACAGCTACAACCATCTGATCTTTAACGAAGTCTACAAAAATAAGCAATAGGGAATGGACTCCCTATTCAATAAATGGTGTTGGGATAACTGGCTAACTATATGCAGAAGAA